CTCGTGCCCCTTCTCGGCCGCCCACGAAAGCGGTGTTCGCTCGTCGTTGTTCCTCGACTCGAGATCGCCTTTGTCCGAAGCAAGGAGAAAAGCAACGATCATCGCCTCATCGCCTTTCTCTGCGTGTGAGAAGACGCCCCGTCGTCGCGAGAAATTGAAGTTGCGTCCAAAGTCAGGCCGTCTGTTGCCATTCTGGCAATACTGTTCACAAAGGTCGTGAAGTGGAGACGTTGAGAAGTAATTGTTGTAGATCCACGGCTTCGGAAGGACGGTGCCAAGAGGCGCCAAGTGGAACTTTCCGATGCTGTCAAAACGTGATTTGTGGCTCTTGAAGATCGCAAGGCGGGGAAGCCGCCCAAGTGTACCTCTCGGGCGCGCCACTCCACTCTCCGTCCCTGTTCTGGCAGTGATCGACGGATTGGGCAATACGACTGACATTGGAGCCACGATGCATTACATTATATTGACTACATTCCCCATAATGTTATTATTAATGAGATATATTGAGGCGCCAGGCTGTAGTCTCTTACCTCCACAGGATCTCCATCACGAAATACATATCAAGGAATAGCAACTAATGCAATGTCTATGTGGCTGTGCCCTCACCAGCGACCCGGGAGCCAGAGTGTGGGGCGCTTTTGATGGCTTTGGCCCACGAAAACACCCACCTTGCAAATCTGCAGGTCAGGCCCCAGCAGGACCAAGTCAGGCAGCAAGCTGGTGCGCGTCACCTCTCAAGGCAAGAGCCACATATCCGCTTCCGAGTGGGGTAAAATCAGTGAAATACGCATCACTCCAAAGTCTCTTGACTATCTCCCGGCGTGGACTGCCATCAGCTTGAAGTAAAATATGGCTTCCAATGTCGTTAATATCGACCCGGATGGAGACGTCTTCATCATTATTCCGACGTCGGCAATACCTTCAAATCTTGATGTGACGAATCAAGAGGTAACCACGAAGACCGAATCATCAGATTTACAAGATGATATTCAATATCAAGATGGCAGCACTATGCACATACACCCCAACCCTCCTAAGGAAGAGGCATTGGATGAAGGTTGCTGCTGAACCCACCTTTGACAACTAAAATCTGGAGAACCTAGCCTAAGTCTTCTTCTAGATCGAATGCATACAATGTCTACAGAAGAACAACAGTCGGTGTTGCACCTGCGGGTTTCGAAAAAGCATCTAATAATGGCATCAGCTCGTGCCAAGACAATGTATCGTACGAAATGCAAGGAGTCGGTGCCCGACGCCGATGGTTTCTTCCACTGGAAGTTCGAGCCAATTTTCGATCGAATGGCATTTGAGATTGTTATGAATATTATTCATGGACAGACTCACCTGCTGCCGGACAAGGTGACTCTTGATACATTGGCCCATGTGGCTGCCATCACAGATGATCTGCAGTGTCATAACGCGGTGAAGTTTGTAACGGATGCGTGGCTTGAAAGGATGCAGACGTCCCCGCCTAAAGAGATATGTCCGGATCTCCGTAAATGGATTCTCGTCGCTTCAGTTCTTCATCAGCCTGATATTTTTCAATCAACTACGCGTCTGGCAATTGTGCAATGCAGAGGGCCTCTTCTTGGAGATGACATTCCTATTCCTCCCACAATTATCGGTAATGCTAATACTTCTGCATACATGTGACACGTTTGGTGCTAATAAGAGGACAGATGCAATCGAGTCGATGAGGATTCAACTGCTTGGTGAGTTGACCAAGGAAGTGGAGCAGACAATAGACCGCCTGAGCCGAGGCAACTCCCCTTGCACGTTTGAGTGTCGGTCTATGTTGCTCGGAGCATTGATTCAAGAGACGCAATGTGCTCGTATACGACTGTCAGATTCGTTTGGGTCTCTGCCGAACATCTCTCTCACCACCGCGCTGAGTGATATACGCAATTTTCGTTCACCGGATATCTACACGTCGCTATCCGAATACGACGGTCCCATGGACGAATATCAAAGCCGAGAGTCCAATGTAGCCTGGAAACTGGAACGGGTATTTGAAGAGCACGGTCATGCATCCTACTCCAAAAAAGACAAAAAGCACCGCAAACGTATCTCCGCCGCAGATATGCGGGAAAACGAACTTGATGCGTATCCAAGGACACTTTTCAGGCACCAATGCTCTATAGTTAGGCTCTTTGAACCTTTCTTGCAGAAATTTGAAGCGAGTATAACTGGGCTTAACCTCTCTGACTTCTCGGGAATGGAGTGACAGATTTCATGCTTAACTCCTTTGGTTCAATAGCGGAGCATAGCTTACGAATACTCAATCAATAAATAACTAGTATATGCTAACTTGATGCACTGTTGTACCTACTACACAGACACTATTATATGTGTACAGTGGCCAAACCATTGCGATAAATGTGCCTCTGTAGTGCAAATTTTGAGATCGCATATTGTACACAATGCAGGCTCAGCGGGGAAGATAACGCTACACTGCAAAAGATGCTGCGTAGCCCGGTGCGTGCGTATCTCAACGAGTGCAGCCTTGCAAAAGTTGCTCTAATATATCCACTTTGAAGCAACACGTTAAACAATATGAATGGAGCACTTGTGCCATTTGCTATGAGTCTAATGACCTTTTGTATACAACTTGCGGTTTGCCAGTCAGGTCACTTTCATTTGCCCTGAAGCTCTAACATCTTCTAGGTCATGTATTTTGCAAAACTTGCTGGGGGGTTTGCCAGCTGCCTCAAATGGAGGATAATGGCGCCGCCCCACGCTGCCCAATGTGTCGGAGGCAGATTATGGCTTCGCCAGTTTCAGTAATGTCTCGTTTTCTCGGCCGCGAGATCATAATTTTGGATCCATAGCCAACAGATACGGATTTGAGCTCCGTGGTGACTCCAGATCATGCTCCTGCAACTCAGGCACCGTGTCCATTCTGAACACCTTGTCGCTGGCCTACACGCTCTGCAAGACACAAGCCCACACACACCACATGCACAAACACACAAATATAAGTAGATATTTCTTGACACCTGCTTAAGTAATGAATAAGTTAAACAATATTTTTTGGACTTCCATATATTGCAAACTGGTGGATTGTACACAGTACAGACAGTACATAGCATAAACAACAGTATTACCAGAGCCTCTTTTGCGGCCGTCAAACTCTCCACGATACATGTATCCTGATATGCTGGGGGGAGAGCAGTAAGTGCTATATCAGAGGTGTATTCCTGGATGGCGCGGAAAATGAGGCCGCCGTATGGCATAATGTTCGCCACCCGTGGTTTGCATCCAGAACTACTTGGAAGAAGGCTGACAAACAACTGCACGGACACCGGTGCTTCAGCTGCCACTTGCATCTGATGATGGACTCTACACACCATCCAGCTCCTTGAGGCTAAAGGACAATTAAAACCGTAACGTGTCCACGACACGATCGCGACCGGCTCCAGCCGCCCAGGCGCACATTATACCGCAAAGAATCTGGGCACTTGAACTCCATAACACCTAATATCACGGCCAGTGTCGAGAGGGAGTTGGTACCCTATCCTGATACAGCGTGCCTTGCCCACACACGGGATGACGTGCACAGGCAAATAGCTAGGCTCGGGCCGCATGGCGCGGCGCCACAAATCTCTTAAATAGTTAAATTCCGCAAAGTTGTGACATAAGTTCCACTAATTAACATGATGGACTATGCAGTTTCATGTATTACAGTGTGTATCTAGCAGGTCCCATGCGTAACACCAGTTTGGATTGTTTGGTTTCAGCGGTGTGGGACCCAAGAAGAGCCAAAAATCTCAGCATGAAACGTCACACTGGAAGAAAATTCGGTGCAGGAGCGGAGATCAATTGTTATATCCATTGGTCTTAGTGTCGTGAATAAAGCACAGGTCAATCAGTCGCCGTCAATCAGCCTAGACAGCTTATGCAAGGTAGCCGCGGCCAGCACATGGACGAGCACAAAAGACGCGGGGAATTTCTCGACTGGCCGGAGCCCCCCTGTCCTTGGCTACAAATCCAGCGTCTCGACTCCATCTTTCCGTCTACAGAGTTAGTAGCATGCGCCGAGCTGGACAGGAGCATATTTCTAAGAACCAAGTTTGAAGTTCTCGTAAGGAATACATTTAAGCGCCTTGTTCCATTCCTCCCATCGCTCGTTGACTTTATGCAGCCGTTGCAACGCAGGCACAACTTCAGCAGGTCATGTGCCACATAAACGCAGCCACTTTACCAGGCATACATAAACCACGTATCCAGTGTGACACCGTCGCGGCCTTCCTTGGGCGTCCTTCAAACAATGCTTTGTTGAAAGCTGCTGGCCATATGAGCCGCTACGTCGAGCCCCGACCAATGCTACTCATCTTGACTTTGAGCACATCAAAACCGACCCACGCTAGTCAAACTTATCGACGGCTGAGTGTCGGCTTGCATGCTGAGACCGTCTGATGAGGGTCGCCGGCGTGTAGTCAGCGGTTGAACAACGATCGTGTCCAGAGTGCTCTCAACAGGAGTACGATCGTGTGATTCGGGTGAATCACTGTGTGAAACGTCCAGAGACCGGTGTGCAGGTGAGCTCGTGCCTGTTTGCAACAGGGCGTCTGGTGCGGAGTTGGTCGAGCTGGTTGAACTTGGGCTGGTGAGGCGTCCCTATTGTCCAGCTGAGGTGTTGGTTCCGGCGTCGGAAGGGTAGGGCAGGCAGCTGCTGCAGTGCCCCACATGAGGTACGATCAGGGTAGGCTTGATATGCGACATCTGTTCTAACTGCCTTCGCTGGGTCAAGTCCGTTCGGCTTCAGTGCAACCCTTTCAGTCTCCTCTTGCTAAACCTATCGGGCTATCCTACCGCTTTGTCCTAACGTGAAAGGCGCTCACGCACCTCACGACTCGGCGGTCGCAGTCGAGTTCGAACCGCCTTCGACGGACTATCCTCTACGGCCTCGTGTTTCTTGCCTAGCGATGCGTCTTTTAGAAATCTTACCAAATGGGGACTTACGCCTGACCCAGAAGTTGCTCGATGATGCGATCCCTCAATATGCCATCCTCTCGCACACATGGGGAGATGAGAGCAAAGAGGTCACCTTTGAAGATATAGTCGGAGGTTCAGACCGAGGCAAGGCTGGATATAAGAAGATCAAGTTCTGCGGCAATCAAGCGACTCAAGATGGCTTACGATACTTCTGGGTGGACAGTTGTTGCATCAAGAAGTCTAGCGACGCTGAGCTTTCGGAGTCGCTCAACTCCATGTTCCGCTGGTACCAACGCGCCGAGAAGTGCTACGTGTACCTGTCTGATGTGTCTACTACGAGGAAGAGGAAAACGAGCGGGGGGGACACACTGAAAACGTGGGAACAGGCTTTTCGGGAGAGTAGATGGTTCACTCGGGGCTGGACGCTTCAGGAGCTCCTCGCTCCTACGTCAGTGAAATTTTTCTCCAAAGAGGGCGAAGAACTTGGTGATAAACAGTCTCTCGAACAAGAGATCTACGAAATTACGAGGATCCCTATTTCAGCACTTCGAGAGTCTAAGTTATCTAGATTCAGCACTGAACAGAAATTCGACTGGGCAAAGAACCGGCAAACAACACGCGAGGAAGATTGGGCGTACTCTCTCTTGGGCATTTTCGAAATCTCGATGCCAGTTGTATATGGAGAAGGGAGGAGAAACGCAGTTAGGCGGCTGGAGAAGGAGATTGATGATACCTCGAAGGCTAAGCAGTGCTTGCGTGACCTACGCGTAACCGACCCTCGTGCTGACAAAGTTCGGATCGAAGAGGCTAAGGGTGGCTTGATACCGGACTCATACCGCTGGATCCTCGAAAATAACGATTTCAAACAATGGCGTAATGGCCAGCAGAGCCACTTGCTGTGGATCAAAGGCGATCCTGGGAAGGGAAAAACGATGCTGCTCTGTGGAATTATCGACGAGCTGAAGAAGTCAATAGCCGAGACACATCTCCTGTCCTTCTTTTATTGTCAGGCAACCGATTCGCGAATTAACAGTGCCACGGCCGTCCTACGAGGTCTTTTGTACTTGCTTATCGACCAGCAGCCATCGCTTATTTGGCATATCCAGAAGCAGCATGACCTCGCAGGCAAAAACGTCTTCGAAGACACAAATGCTTGGGTCGCCCTGTCCGACATCTTCACAAACGTTCTACAAGACCCGAGCTTGAAAAGCACTTACTTAATCATCGACGCGCTCGACGAATGCACTATAGGCCTGCCGAAACTACTAGACGTTATCATCCGGAAGTCGCCGGTATCTCCCCATATCAAGTGGCTTGTCTCTAGTCGCAACTGGCCCCCCATCGGAGAGTGGTTAGACAAGGCCCGAAGAAAGGTGACGCTGCGCCTCGAGCTAAATGCGGAGTCTATCTCTACGGCTGTCAGCATATATATCCGGCATAAAGTGCGTCAGCTAGCGCAGGAGAAGAAGTACGATAATAAGACGCGACGCGCTGTACTCGACCATCTGTCCTCAAATGCGAATGGCACTTTTCTTTGGGTGGCTTTAGTATGTCAAAACCTCCAGAATATCCCACGGGGAAGAATCCGCGCGAGGTTAAACTCCTTTCCGCCTGGGCTTAATCCTCTTTACGAGCGAATGATGAAACAGATATGCGAATCGGAGGATTCGGAACTCTGCAAGCGGATACTGGCTTCGATCTCGACCGTATACGAACCGATCACTCTGACTGAATTAACATCACTTGTCGAAATGCTCGAAGAGTCGTCCGACGATATAGAGTCATTACAAGAGATTGTTGGCCTTTGCGGTTCGTTCCTAACCATTCAAAAAGACACGATCTATTTTGTGCATCAGTCCGCAAAGGACTATCTACTCGCAAAGGCATCCGTTGAGATCTTTCCATTGGGAAGGAGACAGGGCCACTACGACATCTTCTCGAGATCTCTCGTGGTCATGTCTAGGACGTTACGACGAAATATCTACAGCTTAAATGCGCTTGGGTATGGTATCGAGCAGGTGAAGCCGACAGACTCAGATCCACTAGCGGCGTCGCGTTACTCGTGCGTTTATTGGGTTGATCACCTCTGTGACTGGAATCCTTCTATTACAAATGACCAGGTGGACCTGAAGGATGGAGGCATAGTGGATACGTTCCTCAGAACGAAGTATCTGTACTGGCTCGAGGCTCTTAGCCTTTGCAGAAGCGTGCCGAAAGGGGTGCTTGCCATGGGGAGACTCGAGGCGCTCGTCCAGGTGGGCTTTGGACTTGCGATACTATTGATGAATAATTCCTGCTGACATGATTTTAGGGGAGGGCAGATAGACTCACACTACTCGAGCTAGTTCGAGATGCTCGCCGATTCATTATGTATCACAAGCGGGCAATACAGATCAGCCCTCTTCAGGCATATATGTCTGCACTCATATTCAGTCCACCCGACAGCCTAATACGGCGCCAGTTCAAAGAGGAAGAGCCAGAATGGATTACGATAAAGCCAGCTATAGGAGAAAGATGGAGCGCCTGCCTACAGACGCTCGAGGGCCACAGCGATTAGGTCAACTCGGTCATGTTCTCGCACGACTCGACCCTACTCGCATCGGCATTGTGGGACGGGACGGTTAGGATCTGGGATGCCAGTAACGGCGAGTGCCTGTAAACGCTTGTGGGCCACAGCGGCCACGTTAACTTGGTTGCCTTCTTGCACGACTTAATCCTGCTTGTATTGGCATTAGGGGATAAGACGGTTAAGATCTGGGATGCCAGCAACGGCAAGTGCTTATGGACGCTTAAGGGTCACAGTGACTCTGTCCGCTTAGTTGCCTTCTTGCACGACTTAACCCGGCTCGTATCGGCATCGGGAGATAGGACGGTCAGGATCTGGGATGCCAGCAGTAGTGAGTGCCTGCAGACGCTTGAGGGCCGTAGCAGCTCTGTTGGAACGGTCGCCTTCTCGCACGACTCGACCCTGCTCGCGTCGGCGTGGGGCGGGACGGTTAAGATCTGGGATGCCAGCAACGGCGAGTGCCTACGGACGCTTGAGGGTCATAGCCGCCCTGTCTGCTTGGTTGCCTTCTCGCACGACTCGACCCTACTCGCATCGGCCTCAGAGGGCGGGACTGTCAGGATCTGGGATGCTAGCAGCAGCAAGTGCCTGTAGATGCTCGACGGCTGCAGCGACTCCGTTTACTTGGTCGCCTTCTCGCACGACTCGACCCTGCTCGCGTTGGCGTGGGGCGGGACGGTTAAGATCTGGGATGCCAGCAACGGCGAGTGCCTACGGACGCTTGAGGGTCATAGCCGCCCTGTCTGCTTGGTTGCCTTCTCGCACGACTCGACCCTACTCGCATCGGCATTGTGGGACGGGACGGTTAGGATCTGGGATGCCAGTAACGGCGAGTGCCTACGAACGCTTAAGGGTCACAGCGACTCTGTCTGCTTGGTCGCCTTCTTGCACGACTCGACCTGGCTTGTATTGGTATTAGGAGATGGGACGGTTAGGATCTGGGATGCCAGCAGCAGCGAACGCCTGCAGACGCTTGAGGGTCACAGCGGCCCCGTTGACTCGGTCGCCTTCTGGCATGACTTGACCCGGCTCGTGTCGGCATCGTGGGATGGGACGGTCAGGATCTGGGACACCAGCAGCGGCAAGTGCCTACAGATGCTTGATGGCTATAGTAGTTGGGTTAACATGGTGGCCTTCTCGCACGACTCGACCCTGCTCGTGTCGGCGTCGCAAGACGGGACCGTCAATATCTGGGATGCTAGCAGCGGCGAGTGCCTACAGACGCTTAAGGGTCACAGCAACTCCATTTGCTTAGTCGCTTTCTTACACAACTTAACACGGATCGTATCGGCATTAAGTAATAGGACGGTTAGGATCTGGGATACTAGCAGTGGCGAGTGCCTATGGACGCTCGAGGGCCACAGCAGCTTTGTCAACAGCGTCGCCTTCTTACACGACTTAATAAGGATCGTATTAGCGTCGTGGGACGGCACGGTCAGGATCTGGGACGCAGGCAGCGGCGAGTGCCTGAAGGCGCTTGAGGGCTATAATGAGTGCGTCTACATGGCCGCCTTCTTGCCTGACGCGATACGGCTTGCGTTGGCGTCGAGGGACGGGACTGCCAGGATCTGGGACGCCAGTAGCGGCGAGTGCCTGTAAACGCTCGAGGGCTATAGTAACTACGTTAACACGGTCGCGTTCTCGCCTAACTCGACACGGCTCGTATCGGCATCGAGGGATGAAACGGTTAAGGTCTAGGATGCCGGCAACGGCGAGTGCCTACGGACGCTCAATCTTGGCAAGACGCTGCATAACATTTCATTCGACACTACAGGCTCGCATCTGCATATTGATATCGGTACCGTTGCTCTGGATGCACTATCAGCTTCTAACACATCACCAGACGAACCTCAAAATCCGCGGTATCAAGACGTAGGTTTGAGTCCAAATGAAGAGTGGATAACATACAATTCAGAGAACCTAGTATGGTTACCATCTGAGTACCGGCCGTCGAGCTCGGCCGTGTCAGGGAGCACGATCGGTATCGGTGTTGGATCTGGAAAGGTGTGGATGTGCAATCTCCAGGTTACCGGCTTTGGACTTCGCTAGAAGCCTTTGCGTGAAGTGTTTCCATTTCAATATAACTAATTTTTTTTATCATATCTCTATTTACAGAGGGGTGTGGGGATGAGCGTGAATAAATAGTCGAGCAGTTTCGCCTACTATTCATGTCGAAGCTTCTAGAGCAGTAAGACTGGCTTTTCGCCTTGACCTTGGGATGGCCAGCAAGATCCATCTATGAATTGTGATAATGGTGAACGGAACCAGTGGCAAGCTGCGTGACGGAGCGGACTCCTTCCCGTCGATACCTCATTCGGGATAAACCTATAGGACAAAAGGATGTCCTCTGTTTTGAATGGAAGCAGCTGGGTTGATGAACCACTGTCTATGCTTGGTGATTCACGATATATGCGACTACTCAGATTCTCACAAGAACAAGGAGTGGCAGGGCTATGCAGCAATGGTGGCAGCTGCATAACCTAAAGACTTTCTCAACCGAGTTACCCCAAGCAGGATAGAAGCTGAGAAGAAAATCAGCGATGTTATCGCCTCTAGTAAGTCGCCTAGGAGGGATGGCTTCAGAGTCCACCTCCAACAGCCGTAGGTTTCCTATAGCCGTTACGAATGGAAAGGCACTAAACGATGTATTAGTCCAGACATGCGAAACGTCAAATCTAGAGCGGCCTTTCATGAACCGGGGTGCTTGGAGGAGAGGCGTATCGCATCGGAACCTCGGCTGGCAAGTATGAACTGCGAGCTGGTGATAGCACAACCACCAAGCAATCCGATCGGGATATTCATGAAGTGTTAGAAAAGTCTTATACAATCGAGGGTCAGATTGGTATGGCCAAAGATACTACATGCGAGATTGACGAGTGTTCGTGCAACGCTTCCACGCATCAGTCAACTAATAATAAGCACACGACCGATGTGACGGAATCTACGTCCAGCTCGGGCTCGGGCGTTTCTTCTTCTCGAAGTCGCCTCTGGTAGGCCTCAATCTCCGCCGAGTTCAAGGTGATCTCCATTCCGCTAACTCGACGATTGGGTAGAGGATAAAATTGGGCTAAAGCAAAAAGAAAAAAAAATAAAAATAATTAGATGGTTGCATTCAAGTCTTTGCAAATGTAGTCTGAAGGAGATGAGTCGTTAAAAAAAAAAAAAGAAACCTTGTTAACGACGGTCTGCGACGTTTTGTACGTTTGGTTGCTGGCGCTGGCAGGCACCGGATTCCGTTTGCTGCATTCGCACCCATCGTACCCTTGTTTGTACTGTGTATACTGGTTGATACATCCAACCAATCCTGGGAGGTACAAGGTGGGATGGTGTTCCGACCATCCAAAATCCGATATTTTCTCATCAGGAAACGGAATCACGGACTGCAACACATGCACTCTGGTTGTAACGCCAACGCACCACACACGAATAATCATGCTCTGGAAGGAATTGCCAGTCGAGGTGCAGATCATAATCACCAATTACTTAGATCCTAGGTCTGCTGCGATAGTTTGGTTGCACCTGTATTAGCAACTATCTAAATAGAACTAGTAGCGCTTGCGCCACCTGAGAGTATGGGCAGTATCTTTAAGCCTGGAGTCTATTTAGAAAGCATAGTATCGGAACTACGTTGCTGCTCTATTAAATACTAATTAGCTAGTGACCTCTTATTGCTTAGCATGGATCTAGATTATCTGTTCTTTGCCAAACCAAAACTCCAATCAGATCCTCTAATTATAGCACTGCTTATATTTGTTGGCGGTTGATTTATACCATGTCCTCCCGGTATTTACAGGCACTTACGCAATCAAGAGCATCTTGATGGCTCGTTATAACAACCTGCCCTGCGGCCATGGTAATAAGAGAAGCCTTATGGGCGCAACGCGAAAGTTTGGCAAGATGTTTACTGCTCGGGTCTAGGACCGGGAAGGAGTCATAGAGACTTCGAGTCAAGTCTCTGCAATGATTATGGGGAGAGCCACTGGGTTGGCAACTTCGCGGAAGTTGGCTATCAACTTGGATCTGCTAGGAGCTGACAAGAGACTTCCAGCCTCGTTCGCCTCGCTAATGCCATAATGGGCGATGCTGTCTATTCTGAAGAGGCGCTTGATCGGATCATTACCCCAGCTTATGGAAGCCAACCCGTAGTCAACTGTGGACAGGGAATTCCTTGGACCTGAAGGCAATGTGGAATACTCGATTCGTACAGATGAAATGAAGGTGCGCCAGACAGTTGTAGTTCTTCCGAGTAAGCATTGGTTCGGCGAGAATTGTGTTGTACGTGTCCGGTTTATCGAAATCCGAATGCTAAAACAACAGATTTCGCTCAAGTTTTGCAATCACAGTGCTGGTGAGTATGCTTGCTGTTTCACTACGGAGATCAACGACAATTGTATTGAAAGACTACACTGAGATGAACTTTATTTAGTGTACAGGACGATGCGTTAGGGTCTTACCCTTGGTAAACCAAATCCCTGCCCTTCTGCCTATATTCGCTAAGATCATGAGGCACACATCAGCCTTTGCGTTCGGGTTTCCTGCCAGATTAAGTTATGCTTTTCGCAATCGCCTACCTTTAGTTGATCTACTTGATTCAAAAACTAATCTAAAGAAACTGGAGTCTTGATTTCAACAACTGAATAACATGATCATGGATTGGATGCTAGCAGAGACATCATGACACCGTCCCATGAACTCGCAAGGCATGGTTCTGTAGATGCATCTTATGAGAGAGTGTCATATCGCAGACTTTACACATTGGCTGTTCGCTGTCTCGCAATTGCGATAGGTGTCTACGACGGAAGTGCTTGCTCAAATCTCCTGGCGTATAAAATTCCTGGATCTTATCCTCCACACGAGGGTCGTCCGGAGGCAGCGAGAGTGCAGCGCCAATGCATAGAAAGCACCTCCTGGGTCTCTGTTCTGGCTTGTCAATAAAAACGGACAGAGTCGCGAGGAACAAAGGGTCGTCTTCCGATGGCTTATGAAGACTCTCACGCGAGACCGACGTTGTTGACAGAATTCTTGTCCGGCGTGCAGTTGGTCCTTCCTCTACGTTGCAATATGCAACTATGGCTTCAATCGCGTTGTCTCTGCGTCGGTATTGACCCTCGAGAGTATTATCGACCGGAGCTGTAAGTGCCTCAACTAGCAACTTTTGAGCCGGTCGCTGGGGACCGACTGCATGATCCACCGATGGTTCTGCAAATCCAATTCCTTGTAGTTGACGTTCAATATCGTCCACAGCCTGTTCGTCCGTCCAGTCGTCCCGAATTTTCTGTTTAAGTTCTCGTTTTAGCTTCTGCTTTAACGACCGCAACTCGCGGTGAGTCTTTTTGTGCTGTTCAGAACCCGGGCGTAATTTTCGCATCTGGGTTGTAAGCCGTCGAACACGAGGATCTGATGCGATAGACGCCGTTTGTTCAGCAGTGAGATCTGTAGGTCGCCGTTTGCTCATCGAGTGGCCAATGCTGCAAGCCTGATCAATGAGTGCCTGCTGTGGCTTTTGCCGACGGATAATGGCCCATGGGTCAGCGCGGACAATACGGCCGAGGTAGTGTTTCTGGAAAGGGGTGGAATTGGCGTGGTCAAGGGATAGGTTTCGAAGCGCTTCACTCATGTCGGCTGTTATATCAAACATTAAAAGTGTCCTTTCAAATTAAATGGACTTAACTTACGGCTTTGGTCAAACTCATTGGCAGCATTATAGCGCAGGCTGTACGGTATTGTTTCGTATTGAAGTCCCATTATCTCGCCCACTCTTTTGACCCAGCTCGCGATCATGCCATGGGTGATGGTCTTTGTTGCTGACATTTCATACCCCGTCAAGGTCTTGACCGCACGACGAAATATCCACGCCTCTTTGAGATCACTTCTTAGAGGTAGAGGCAGCTCCCGCTCGCCGGGATGTATGTCCAGCCCATCTAGTTGCCTAGGAGAGGTAAGATGGGATGCGCGAAATGCTCGGTGCCGGAATAGAATGCCTAGCAGAAAAGCGTGCGGACTGAGGAGTAGGGACGGGTCAAACATCATCTCTGGGATCGTAAATGTTTTGCTGGTGGCGTATTAGCAGGGGTAATCCAAGCAATCAATACAGGGACAACAGGAATAGTGCACTAACGCGTCCTTAGTACCAAGATATGACTTCGTGAACTCCAACGTAAATCGAATCAAGACCTTGTGCGGTCCGCCTTCCGGGTCTCTCGCCAGGGCCACTCTGATGTCTCCGAAGCGAAGCCGCAGGATGGACGTAGGGCGAGAGCCTGCGGGGGCAAGCAGGAGGAGGAAGAGCACGGCTAAAATTCGGAGTTCTCCAAGGTCAAACGATTTCTTTGTGGTGCTCAGCGTGGTCTCGATTTGTTCCTTCAAATCGTTGATAGTCATGCAGCGATTCGCTCTCTTCTGGTCGCTTAGCCCATGCTTTCTTGCAAGCTCTCGGAGGACCTAAGGAAACGTTACAACCTGTATGTTCATCTATATTAAGTATGACTTACCTTATGCATATTGCGGTTCAATTTCGGATCGAGCTTCGCGCCGATGGCCCTCTCATATACGAGTCGGAAGACTTTCCAGGCTGTGCCCAGCGAGCTGCTCTTAGTAGTGCCTCTCAATCTTCTACCGTCCTTGCCCGCCTTTTGGTTCAATCGCCATTCAAAGAATTTATAGAGTATGCCTATAGAAATAGACTCGAAGCACACGTGCGGGTCACGCGATAGAACTTCATTGCAAAATCTACGGGTGGACAGTTAGAAAATAGAGTCCACGAGAGGTGAGTAAATAGCGTGACTTACTGTTGCCACTGCACCTCTATCGCGTCCAACAAGACTGTGCTCCCGGGGCTGTAGTCTTCTCCACCGAATGAGCTTTCATTGAATTGTTCTATACCAAGCCGGTAATATTCAGGCGGATGTATGTTTCCACCAAAAAGTTGGATTTGATCTTCAATGTCCAGATCATCATTGTCCTGGTCGAGATCCGTTACATCAGTTTCACCGCCAGACAGATCCACTTCATCCACGTCGAAGCAGCTCTCAACCTCTGGGGAAAAAGAGGACTCGGAATCGTCCGCGTCAGGCGAGCGTCGATGGCGTGCCATGACGGGTCAAATGGTGTGAGGTTGCGATCCGGGCGAGGCGATGGGTGCGACTAGAGGAGCTTGAGCTTAATTTGGATGGGAGTGGGAGGGTTGTACGGGGAACAAAAAAATCGCCTTGCCGCTGCGGCCACGAGGGCGGGCTTTTAAATGCAACTTTAGAGACCATTTCTAAGTTCTTGAAAAGGGCAGTGAGTTGACAGGAGCATGTTGCTCGGAGCTTGGTTCCAAGTTCTCATAAATTGGCCAGCTCATTTAACCGCCTTGTCCGGATCCTGCCCAATGAGGAGTGAGTACCTGGCGGTACATCGCGGAACATTCACTGATGTGGCCTACCAATGGGCCAGACTACATAGCTTAAAGCGGCGTTGGATCCTTGGCCAATGGCCCACCTCTTTCCGTGGCCAAAACCACCAAAACTGGTGGTGCTTTTGCCGTCTTTTTCTTAAAGCTAGTTTTTTATTTAATAATAATTTAATAAAAATATTTTATAATTATTTTATAAAAGTTTATAATT